TGTGTGTGTGTGTTGTGTGTGTGTGTGTGTGTGTGTGTGTGTGTGTGTGTGTGTGTGTGTGTGTGTGTGTTCCAATATATATGATAAACATTTACTACCTGTTCCTTTACTCAGTGTTCTTTTTCTAAAGTCTTGATGTTCTTACAGTTTTAAAAAAAAAATTAACAAACTAACAAAAAACCCAAATTCAACAACTGTGAAATATAAATTTTCCAAGAAAACAAAGAAATAACAAATATTAACATTTTTATTTTTCTAAACATTTCCCAACATTAATAACAGTTCCTAGTTTCTTGAGGTAAAATTTATTTGAATTCCAAGTTATATAATTTATATTAACCTACTGGTACCAAGTATTTGCACTGATCGCTGTAGTTGTGTTTTGTCAATTTTGTTTAAATACAGATGGCTTCACAAGCACGAAGTCACCAAGATACCAATTATTAGACTCTAGTGATCTCATCTGTTTACCCCATTCTTCAATCCTTCAGGAAAAGTGGTTTTGTTTCTATTACTATTATCATCATTACTGACATTGTTATTACTATAATAACATTATGAACAATCAGTATAATAATCAGTATAAAAACTTACGGAGGCATCTATGAGTAAAGAAAATTAATAAGCTAAAGTCCGAGCAGACATCTATACACGCCTTCCCAGCATCAGCAAATTAAAGTGATACAAAACCCTAAAAAATGAAGAAGAAAAAAATAAAATAAAAAACGAGGAGAGACAAAGAACCAGGACATTGTAAAAAAGATAAAGCTCAAACTTCATCCCAACTTCCATCGTTCAAAAGTACTTCTGAAATCATCATTATGAACAGATCTTTTTCATATACTTTATCTGAAGGTGTATTGAGAGTTCCAGTGCTTTTCACTCTAAAACCACGAATGTCACTAAAAACATTGAAAAACGAGGAAAAAATCTCCTCTTTCACTTGTATTATACACTTGTATGAAGATTGTATTTAAGACATATTATTACAGGGAGGTGATGTGCTGTTTGATTTTGTCCTTGTGTTACATATGTGAAAAGTAAAGAGTAATAAACAAAATAGGAACTTGTAACTCAAACAAACCAGAAACATGAAACAAAGAAGTAGTAAAGACAGAATGATATACATTTTCTCAAAGTGACTAGGCTATCTACGCTATCTATTTACAAGATAAATCTCTAGCACTCAGCCATCTATATGCCTTTTACTCTAATTTCTCTCTGCTACCTGGCATTCTTTGGAAATGTTTATATATAAAAGAAAGAGTGAATCAACCTAGACTACATTCAATTTTCAAAGCAAGATTCCAAAACACACACTAAAAAAATACATAAAAACTCTAAACCCAGCCAAAAGGATGAAAAATTCATTACTGCTATTATTAATACAGGTACAAAATCTTGTATCTTTCCTTCCCTTATAAATATGTGTAATACATGAAAGAAACATCACATCCTGACAGCACCAAAGCACCACAAAGAGATTATGAATAAGATAAAGATAAAGTAATGAAAGACAGTCATATCAAGAAATATATCAAGTGATTAGGATTGATATATGAACGGTACAGATAATCACATGCATGATTTCTTACAGCATAAAGAGAAATTATGTGGTATCAGGAAAACCTCTGGGAAACCTCAGTCAAACTCTGTTAACCAACTTCCTCAAATAAGCAAGCAGGCAAGCGGGCAAATAACCTAACTCCCCTAACTCAGTGTTTAAATTAGCGAAGACGTATGTTATAAATGCCGCCATATGCTCATGGTCTGTTGAAAGCGAATTAACAGAGTTCAACCGTGGTTAATTCTCAGTCATCCATGGGCTCAAGATAAGCACTGGGAACGCGGCCAGTCTGGGTTCCACGCTTTGCCATTACAAAGTCGGCCAACTCTCCGTCCTTGCTGCTGTACATGACAACCTGTAAGAATGGTCACTAATAAGTTTTATGCAGCAAAATGTTTTCTTAATTGATTCTCTATACTATATTGACTCATATATTATTAGCAAGACCTTAAAAAGTGTAATGATTCATGCAAATTCCTTCCTATGCTACATACATCTCACAGGTTCTTTGCTGAAATTTTACTATAGATTTTAAAAAATTATTTACTATACAATGCAAGACTCTAAAATGATTCCCTTCCTGAATCTATCCTATAATTACATAATTTTTTTGCAAAATTTTACAGATAGCAATGATTCAAACATTCTTAAGTAGACTATAGTACATAGATATTTTGCTGGACTTAACACAAGGTTCATATAGATTCTTTATTAGGAATATACAGTGCAGTGACACACAAATGATAACCCTTCTTGTATAGCAATGATTTATACAGGAATGGAAAAAGAAACCTCACCTCATTCATCATCAGACTCATTTCATCCTTGCTGGTAGCGTCATAGTCACAAACAACCTTCGCTCGTCTCCAAGGGCCTCCCTCATCAACGCTCTTAGCTTCTCCGTCCACACCAACGGTAGTGCTAGACGATGTAAGTGTGGGAGCCGAAGCATTGCTAGTCGCTGATGATGTGGTGGGAGGGACAACAGCAGAACCAACAGTGGCATCGGGTATCAGGGAGAGGCTACAGTACAGGAATAACACCAAAGTATTACCAAAAGTAAGAAATTAAAAACTAAAAAATATTAGAAAACTAGCAAAAATAATATTGACAATAAATGCTACTTAAGGGATATAATTTTCACTGATGACTGACTGCCAGGTGTCCTTGCTATTCTCTACAGCTCCGTCTATGGAAGTGAAAAAGAACATTTCCTTCAGGATAGCTCATCACCATCTCAATTTTTGTTTCAAGGGAGTGAAGGCATTAAATAAACTCATAAATGGCTGTAATTAGGAAATTGTTATAATGGCTGTCAAGGGACAGGAGGAAGAAATTAAAATCCAGTTCTTGTAACACCATAAAATAGGAAAACAAAAATAATAAAAAGGGTTATCCATGGCAGACTCTAAGAGCAAGCAAGGCTGAATAACTAACTAACAAGAAAACACTAAAAAAGTGTCCAGATTATAGGTTCTGATATCAAAGGCTTCGATTCATGACTTTCCTCACTGATACAGATCCATGAGAGTTTGTCCATTTAAGACTTTAATCATTTAATAATCTGATTACTGCCCATTACTTGGTATCTATTCAGTGGCAATAGTGGTAGAAGTCTTATTTCTGAACTCCAGTGGTACAGATATTCTGGAATGCAAGTACTTCAAATACCATTATGAATGCTGTGTAATAAAATCAACTTGGGAAAATACTATGAATTTTATTCATACATATCCTAAAAAGTTGAGGGGGGGAAATCCTATTGATTTAAGTTAAATGAAAATAGAGAACTTTACCTAAGTAATGGTAATCTATAAATAAATGAAGTACTGTAGAAAAAATATAGCAAATACATATATGCACAAGTCACTGGTTTGCCTATTACAAAATCAGTTTGTCTATGAGCTGCTAAAGTATTTTCTTGCATATAATAATGCATGAATGGTTAAATCTCTTTGGCTCTCTGTGTACGCATGTACATAAAGGTCAGATATATTTTAATATTCCCTTTTCTAAACTTTCTAACTTAAAATCATTGAAAATAAATGCATCAGTAAATTTTTAAAAAAGTAATTTCTTCCTTTTATAATTGTCTTTGGCTTTATGTTTGCTTTTTATTCATACTTACCTTTTTTCAAAAAATGACATGTGAACATGAAAGCTGACAAACTCAAAATGCATGATTCTAAATTGTAATAAGATGAAGACAACAGTGTGTTCTGTAGAATAGTATATCGGTAATGTATATAACATGACCTTCCCTAACAAAAAGGGTCAAAAATTAACCCATTACCCATTAGTAGTAAATGGTTAATGTGTAAATACAATTTAAAAAAATGAAAAACAGTGGCAATGGATTAAAGTGTGAATGTCAGATAATGGCATGTCATGAGTCTATAGTAATTTCCCTCTTGAGCTATACCTGATAGATATAAATCCACTGATGAACTACAAAGCATATCAGTTTAAATCTATGAAAAATTTCTATCAGAGATATTGTCTTTTCAGGAAACCTAGCCTGAGTATCATCAAAACAATTGCATCAAAAATAAAACATGACATTTCATGCAATTCTGGATATCACTACTGACCTTTTACAGACCATTTTCATTTCTGTTACCTGGCTTTTGTCCGAGCAAAAAAGCCTTGGTGCACATTCATAAAACTTGTGCAGTGAACAAATCTGTATTATGGGTGTGTGTGTGTGTGTGTGTGTGTGTGTGTGTGTGTGTGTGTGTGTGTGTGTGTGTGTGTGTGTGTGTGTGTGTGTGTGTGTGTGTGTGTGTGTGTGTGTGTGTGTGTTTGTGTTGTGTTGTGTGTGTGTGTGTGTGTGTGTGTGTGTGTGTGTGTGTGTGTGTGGTGTGTGTGTGTGTGTGTGTGTGTGTGTGTGTGTGTGTGTGTGTGTGTGTGTGTGCATGTGTGTGTGCATGTGCGTGTGCGTGTGTGTCTGCATGTCTGTGACTATCTCTCTCTCTCTCTCTCTCTCTCTCTCTCTCTCTCTCTCTCTCTCTCTCTCTCTCTCTCACACACACACACACACACACACACACACACACACACACACACACACACACACACACACACACACACACACACACACACACACACACACACACACACACACACACACACATTTGCACTCTATCACTCATGCTTACACTCACACATACACAAACTCATATTCACTCTACCTTTTACTTTCATAATCTCACTCACACTCGCCCCGAATTCTGACTTACATGTACATTCACAAACACTTACACTTTATTTTGCACTCACACTCACTCACACATAAATGCAAACCCTATCACAAACACAGACACACAAACAAACACAAAGACATACACAAACAAGCATAAAAAAGGAACATCTTTCACAGGTGTACAAAACAAATATATAGCATTAATGGTGCAGAAAACTGTACATAGGTTCAACTTTACTCTTTTTAAGTTGGATTAAAATATAGACTTTTTCAGTTGTTTCCGATCCCAAATCACTCTGATCAGTATAGGATTTATAAATATCTAATTTACTGTTCATCGGGTTATAAACACAGAAAACACTGAGAATTTATTTATTATCATGAATATACTCAGGTATTTAATGGCATAATGAGAGGTAATTAAATCATATTCACATTTACCTTCCGTTTTTCACTGATATATCCATGCAGTAAAATTTTAAAAATCAATAAATAAATAAAATAAAGAAATCAAATGAAGAAAATAATATATATGTGAGATGGCCATGGCCGAATTATTCCCTTCATCACAATTTTTGTTCAGAAGAACATATAACTATAGTTGCCAGGGTTTTCAAATCATAATGCACAAACTTTGAATGCCCTATATTTTTATATCTTCTTCTCTATAATCACTCTTTAAGAAATATTTTCCAGTTTCTAATAAAAGTTTAACACATCTTTCCATAAAGAATAAGCAGGAAATATGTATCTAACAGGTATTTCTGACAATCAAACTAATTATACTGCAATATTTCTGTCTATTTTTATTCACGATATATGAACATAAGAATGTTTTGATCAAAATAATACTGTACGGGCTTCAACTGCTCACCTAAAACTCTATCATTAAAAAATCACAAATCATAATCTCCAAAAGTTTTTCATTATCATTCTCTACCTGATTTTTTTTCATTTGTCTCTGTGTCTGTGTGTATCGTGTGTATGTGCTGTGTATGCACTGTGTGCGTGTGTGTGTGTGTGTGTGTGTGTGTGCGTGTGTGTGTGTGTGTGTGGTGTGTGTGTGTGTGTGTGTGTGTGTGTGTGTGTGTGTGTGTGTGTGTGTGTGTGTGTGTGTGTGTGTGTGTGTGTGTGTGTGTGTGTGTGTGTGTGTGTGTGTGTGTGTGTGTGTGTGTGTGTGTGTGTGTGTGTGTGTGTGTGTGTGTGTGTGTGTGTGTGTGTGTGTGTGTGTGTGTGTGTGTGTGTGTGTGTGTGTGTGTGTGTGATGTGTGTGTGTGTGTGTGTGTGTGTGTGTGTGTGTGTGTGTGTGTGTGTGTGTGTGTGTTGTGTGATTGCAAACACAGTGTATAAATATAATGCTTTTACCCAGTCCCCTGCCATCTTAAAAAAATAGTCACAGTATTCTTCCCTAGCTTTCCATCAACATCTTACAAAATTCTCTGGTCTACAAGAAAAACACAATTGAAAATAGAACTGAAGACCAAATAACATACTTCAGGGGAAAGCTTATTACCTCATAAATACATATCAACAATGGTAACAATATGTTTCTTGACTAAATATATTGCATAGGGAAGGGAGCTAAAATGTACCTAAAAGAAACTGTGTAGGCTAGGCTGAGAGAAGATGAGATCATGACTAACATACTGCAGGCCCCATTACTTAGTTTTAATAATTATGGTAACAGTTACAGTAAGGATCACTATAATATCTTGTAGGCATGTAACACACACACACTCATTCTCACTCATTCAATCTCACCCTCACACTCACCTTCACCTCAGTCTTACAGATGCACACACATGTTCACACTCACACTCACCCTCACACATAAACACTAACATTCACCCTCACATATACACATACTCATACACATACACACATACAACTGCACATTCTTACTCTTACTCCCTTCACTCAAACACACACACACACACACACACACACACACACACACACACACACACACACACACACACACACACACACACACACACACACACACACACACACACAATACACATACACATACACCACACACACACACACACACACACCACACACACACACACACACACACACACACACACACACACACACACACACACACACACACACACACACTCACACCACACTCACTCACTCACTCACTCACTCACTCACTCACTCACTCACTCTCACTCACTCACTCACTCACTCACTCACTCACTCACTCACTCACTCACTCACACTCACACTCACACTCACACTCACACTCACACTCACACACTCACAATCACAATCACAATCACAATCACAATCACAATCACAATCAACACACACACCACACCACACACTCACAGTTACTAGATGAAATTGAATATTAAAGCTTATTTTGAGTACCTTCTAAATATATTATCTTGTGGAGAATCTGAAGAAAATACTACAAACTTCTTAGATTACTGCAAAAATGTCTACATTCTAAAGCTGCACAAATGGTTATAACATATCCCTGAATGCCAAAGTAAACATCCCTTGTAATCTAAATCAACATGAAAAATTCAGATTAATATTGCTACTATAAAATATAACAATTGTAGTCAATAAAATATAAGCATTCCATTATCTTTCCATTAGGAAACTCTATGTTTAACATTAAACAGTTTCAAACATAAAAGTTATTTTGTAAACAATTAACAGCTTCATTTTCAAGAAAACTTGAAACAATCACAACAAAACACAAAGCTAATGGCATCCTAGACAGCTGTAATGAGCTACTTCATTGCTAAAACTACATTTCTTTTTATTCAAAGACTTCTTGGCATAATATAAAACTTAGGAT